AACATTTTCAAGGGTGACCATTGTGAATATTTCTGGCGTCTGTGTTTTGCGTGAATGCTGAAATAAGTGGTCAGTATCTTGTTTGTTTATTTTGTTGTTTGTGTCTTTGTCAAATATAAGACCACAGTATGAATGTGTAGGAAAAAAGTTCCAGAAAAAAAAAAAAAAAGAAGAAAAAAAGTTCCAGAATTTTCCAGTGACAATAAAAAAAGACGTGTACTGTTTGTTTGAACTTCCTGAGAGAATGGACACAGAGGTGCAGCGTGTAATGTTACAAAAGTGTGAGCAAGAAAGTTTTAAACCGGTAAAAGAGCAAGTGGAAATTGTGAGACAGGCACTAGAGATGCTGGAATATAATAAAAAGCTAAAAAAGGCTCTCGTGCAAAAATTACAAAAAATAGAAAATAATGCAGAAGAGAAACAAGATGTGATATCTTTGATGTGGGATAAAATTAAAGAGTGCTCGAGTGATGAGGATAAATTTGACAAGCAAAAGAGAGAGGCAAATGCCTTGCATAAAAGTAAATACAGAAAGTTAATGAGGGAGGTTATTTATGAAAGAAAAGAGTGGTTGAAATTGGTCTTTGTGGCACAGGGTTCGTCCCATTTGTTGAGAAAACAGCAACTGGTGGAGCAGCCTAGAACAAAGAGTGAGGAAATGGGTAGTTCAGATCCCCCTCCTTATAACCCAAGTGGCAATCAGTCAGAACATCCCCCTACAGGAATGTACCCCATATATCACATAAAAGATGGAACGTTACAGGTGGGGGAGGTCACTGACACCCCCTCGCAGCTGAGGGGGGAGTCATCCAACCCAGTTAAAACAAAACTACTTGTGGCACCAGGAATGAAGCCGTGTTTTACACAGTCCATCAGTACACCATTCCAAACAGAGGGTGAAGGAAATATAAACAGCACGCAGCAATGGGTAATTAAAGATGGGTGGAGTCAGTCTGTTAATCCCTCAGGACACCCTGATTTGCACACTTCTTCCCTCTTTGCATCCTCAGCATCTCCCTCTGACAGCTCTCATGATGGAGAGGGCCTGCTTGTGGGTCTGCAGGGTTGGAGGAATCGTGCAGGGTTGTCTCAAAACCCGCTCACCTGTACTCACCAATTGCCTGCCACGCCTCAGACACACGTACAGAATCCTTTTTGGCCACAAGCAATACGAATTACTTCTGATTTGTCGGCAGCTCTTCCACCACCAGATCACGCTTCTATCCCTGTTGAAAACGTGGATCCATCGTTAAGTACTGGTTCATTTCCCCTTCTGCAGGCAGGAAATCAGATACGTTATAAACCTCTTGCGCTAGGTGATGTGCAGGCGTTAGTGGACAAACTCCCTCCCCTCACAGAAGGAGGAAGTAAGTGGTTGAATGTAGTGGACTCCTTAACTAAAGGTATTAATTTAGCTGTGGGAGACATGAGGGCACTGTTGGGAAGGTGTGTAACTTCTACTAGGATGGATGAGATAGAGAGGGCTGCTGGGTGGAATCGTAACATACCTGACTCAACTTGCATGTTGTTGGAGTATCAGAGACTTGCTGCCGCTCTCAGACAGGCTTATCCCCTTCCAGAAGGTACAGGGGTTCCTAAGTTCACCTGGAAGCCTGGTCAGAACCCCACTGCATATTTAGATGTGTGTAAACAGGACTGGTATGACAGAACACACTGCCATGGTCAGGGGGAAAATCAAAAGTATTTTTTTAGACAAGCAATACTGGATGGGGTACCCGCAGCAGTCAGTAAGGCAATGAAAATTAACCCTGATTTACCCACAGCAGATGCTGCCCAGTGGGAACGGCATCTTATTCATCATCTGCAATGTGTGGCTGATGAGGAGACTAAAACTTCCTCTGAACTGAAAGATATGCAAACGCAGCTCTTCAAGCTACAATTGAAACAGGCTAGGGATGTAGTTCAAACTAAGAAAGATTCAAAACAGATGGTACAAGCTGACACTGTGTTTCAGTGTTCTGAGGCTGTTTATCAGTGTCCTGTAACCGCCCAACCCCCGCTTCCTGTTGTATACCCTCAGGGACGGTCAAGAGGGCAGTGGGGAGAAAGAGGGGGGTCTCGGGGCAGAGGTTTCGGTCGGGGTTACACACAGGGAGGCAGAGCAACAGATGTTTGCCATTACTGTCACAAACCAGGTCATTGGGCACGGGATTGTTATCACAAGCAGGCCAACGCCCAAAGAGGAGGAGCACATCACTACTCAGCTCCCAACCACCAGATGGCGCCACCGGCACCTACCTCTGGCCAGCAGGATCCATCTTGGGCGCCACCAGGTGGATACTACCAGCAATGACACACCCCACAGAGTAATCACACCATAGGGGGAGGAGCAGACCCTATGGTGAAAATGAGGGTCATGAATAAAGATCTATCATTCCTCATGGACACTGGAGCTACATATTCAACCCTCAATGAGCAGGGATTTGATGAACATGCCAGTGCGGACACTGTGTCTGTGATCGGTTTCGCTGGGGTGCAACAAAAACTGTCTCTAACTGAACCTCTCGTAGTAACAGCAGGACTTCAAACAGTGACACATCCATTTGTTCTGTCCACACGTGTACCTGTTAACCTGCTTGGAAGAGACTTGTTAAAGAAACTTGGTGCAACAATAATGTGTGAACAAACTGGTTTACGTGTTACTTTACCAAGTGGTGTGACCTGGACTTGTTCTGCTTCTTCCTCCTCTTTGTCATCACAGTGCTTGGTACAGCCGATACATGAGGAAGTAGCTGACATTTACTGGGCGTTGCTGCGCCCCGAGACACCTGAACACACTGGACTTTACTCTGCTTACTTGTTGTGGAAGCCATGGCTTGATGCTCTGCGTCCCTATGTCCCACCTCTAGATCCTTTACATGTAACTCTTTTTTATGACCGTGATTCTGACGATTGTTACAGGGAGCATTTTGCTCAGCACTTGCAGGACACTGAGTGGCCATTAATATCAGACCGGCTTATAGTTGGTCCACAAGGTGTAGCTTCTCACGTCAACCTCACACCATCTCAACGGGAGTGGTACATGATGTCGTCTGAAGCGATCCCACATGTCTCATTAGCTTTAGCTCCCACACATCAGGCTAAAGACGTGGGCCCAATGGTGAAGGCTGCTGTCTCTGCCACAGATTGGGTCCCAACACAAATACCTCAGCTCGCTTACTCGTCATCAACCGACTGTTATAGCATTGACTTAGCTGTTCATGATGTAGGTAAGCTAGATCATGAGGTGATCTCCAGAGACCATGGCAGAGAAAAAACTGACCATTCAGATGTTCCTCAGATGTTAGACACACTTCCTGCATCTCTCTGGTCTCAGGGACCTGAGGATGTAGGTCATGTTAAATGCCTCCCAATCTCTTTTGAACTGACCCACAACGAACCTATATGGTTGTATCAGTATTTTCATAGACCTGAGGCTGAACAAGGTTTGACTGACACAGTCCAAGGGTTGCTGAAAGCAGGGGTCCTCGAACACTCACATTCAGACTGGAATACTCCCATTCTACCTGTTGAGAAGGCGGGGACTGGAAAGTACAGAATGGTACATGATCTTAGGTCGATCAACGCCATACTTAAGACACCTACGTCACCAGTACCAAATCCCTATGTTGCACTGACCCAACTGACACCAAACCAGAAGTGGATGACCTGCATTGATTTGGCTAACGCCTTTTATTGCCTGCCCTTATCAGAGGACCTGCGTGACATTTTCTCATTCACATTTAATGGTTGTCAGTATAGATACACTCGCTTGCCTCAGGGTTTTGCATTATCGCCAGGCATTTTCAATCATGTTTTAAAGAACATTCTTGTACAGCTTCCACTCCCCAGAGGCACCACTTTGGTTCAATATGTTGATGATTTGCTGATAGCCTCTGAAACAGCACATGACTGTCTTACAGCCACTCAGGCTGTCCTGCTTCACCTGCATGATGCAGGTTTTAAAGTTAGTAAATCTAAACTTCAAGCAGTTCGTACACAGGTCTCTTTCCTTGGTAGGTTGGTCTCTGCTAATGGTACAACACTTTCACCAGAACACAGGGCGTCTATACTACATCATCCAAAACCCACCACTGTACAAGACATGTTATCCTTTTTAGGTTTAACTGGGTACAGCAGACACTATATACCTGATTATAGTGAACTCACCACTCCACTCAGACAGATGGTAAAAGATCAAGGTAACAGAAACCTTAAAGCAACACTTGTGTGGAACACAGATGCAGAGCATGTGTTTATTAAACTGAAGCAACTCTTGTCCAGAGCAGCTGATTTGGCTCTGCCTGACTACTCCGCCCCATTTTTTCTTGACGTTTCTGAAGCAGAAAACACTGTTAATGGTATTCTGTTTCAGAAAAAGGGGGGTGGTAGACAGGTGTTGATGTACGCAAGTGTGATGTTGGATGGTACTGAGAAGCGTCATCCAACATGTACACAGGCAGCAGCAGGTCTGGCAAGGATTGTTTCAAAAACAGCACACATCGTCATGGGACACCCACTACACATACTTACGACACACAAAATAGTAGCTTATGTTAATTCTGAGATCTTTACAATGACATCCTTAAAGCAAAGACGCATGAGCAACATCCTATCAGAACCGAATTTATTGTTCCTACATGAAGGCATAAACATGGCAGATGGTATGCAAACAACACAAGCACATGATTGTGTGCAAAAAGTGTACATGGAGGAACGCATTAGACCTGATTTACAGACTGAACTCATACCACATTCAAATGTACTTTACACAGATGGTTGCTGCTTCAGGTTTGAGGATGGGTCTTTGAGATCAGGATTTGCTGTGGTACAGCAGAATGGTGTTGAGTACGAGGTACTGAGCTCAGGGCAGCTAGAAGGTCATCAGTCAGCTCAAAAAGCTGAAATTCAGGCAGTCGTTGAGGCTTTGAAAATGAGCAAAGGAAAAGAGGTTACAGTGTACACAGACTCAGCATATGCTTATGGTGTAGTTCATGTACAATTACCACAGTGGAAAAGAGCAGGTTTTCGAACAGCAGGTAACAAACCAATTAAACATGAGGAACTCATTAAGGATTTAGCTGACAGTTTGATGTGGCCAGCAAAAGTGGCGGTTGTGAAGTGCAAAGGTCATGATGTTACACAATCAGACACAGCGGAAGGAAACAGGCAAGCTGACAGAGCAGCGAAGATAGCTGCTGGCTATTTGCCAAGAGTCCAGATGGTGACAGTGGAAGAGGAATGTCAGAAAGTGAATCAGTGGGATGAGAAAACTGTAGCAGAGGCTCAGACTACAGCCTCCCCAGAGGAAAAGACATTATGGTTTAACAGAGGAGGTCAGAAAAAAGGGGAGTTTAAAGTATGGATAGGACCGAATCAGAAGTGGATCTTGCCTATGACTTTAAAACAGGTAGTATTTCAGGAAGCACATGGATTAGCACACGTGGGATGCAGACAAATGTTAAGAAATCTTCGACAATGGTGGCACCCTCATCTAAAATATATGGTAACAGCATATGTTGACACCTGTACTGTTTGTTTAAAGTACAACATTCGGCCTACAGTAAAACCTGAACGAGGTTCTTTTCCTCTCCTGCACCGACCGGGACAGGAGGTGATTCTAGATTACACTGATATGTTGGAACCTGTTAAAGGGTTCAGATATGTATTGATGTGTGTTGACGCATTTACAGGGTGGCCAGAAGCCATACCTGCAAGAAGAGAAGACAGCAAAACAGTGGTGAAGTTTCTGATTAACCATTACATCCCAAGACACGGTTTCCCAACAAAAATCAGATCAGACAATGGCACACATTTTAAAAACACAGATCTGCAGGCTGTGGAAAAAATGTTAGGCCTAAAACATGCTTTTGGAACCGTGTACCATCCCCAGTCTCAAGGGAAGGTAGAAAGGATGAACCAGAACATAAAACAAAAATTGGGCAAAATCTGTGCACAGACTAAATTGAACTGGGTGGACGCATT